GCCCCGCCCCCTCACCTATGCACACGTTCTCGTCGTCCAGCTCGGCGGAGCCGTTGCGGTAGTAGCCCAGGCGGCAGTGCTGGCAGTGCTGGCCCCGCGTGTTGTGCTTGCAGCTGACGCAGGTCACCACGTTGAGGAAGTCGATGTAGCTGCAGCGGTTGGAGTGGCCGTAGCACTCGCAGTCTGGGCCGGCGGGCGCGAGAGGTCCCAAGGGTCAGGGAGGGAAGGGAGAAGCTGCCTTCTGCTGCCCGACCGCCCCCCCCACACCCCGCCATGCATCTGAGGACACTGAGGCGTCCGGAGAGGAAGGACCCACCAGGGGCAGGCAGGGCGGGGTCGTCCTTGGACGAGAGCGCCCTTTGGGAAGGGCCCGCCAACTGCCAGCTGTAGCGGGCGAGGGCCGGCGGGCCTGTCTGCCAGGGCCCTGGCCGGATGCGGGCCGAGGCCCTAGGGGATGCCCCGGACGCAGCGCCGCGCAAGGACCAGCGGGCGGACAGCTCATGCAGCCAGGCTGCCAGCCAGGGAAGGAGGTGCGGGCTCCGGGCTCCACCATCCCCCGAGATCCAGCGAGGGCAGCTGCATGCGCACGTGCGGGGCAGATGTTGGTGCGGCAAGATGGCGGTGCGGGGCAGATGTTGGTGCGGGCAAGATGGCGCGTGCGGGGCAGATGTTGGTGCGGCAAGATGGCGCGTGCGGGGCAGATGTTGGTGCGGGCAAGATGGCGCGTGCAGGGCAGATGTTGGTGCGGGCAAGATGGCGCGTGCAGGGAGCCGCCCCATGCTGCCCTGGAAGATGGCTGGGGCAACTGCCCGCGTCGGCCCTTTCTTCTGAGCCTGAGCAGGTGTGCAATTGGCACCGGCTCCTCAGGGCCCCAGAATCGGGGCCACTTACAGTCAGCCCTGGCCCCCCCCCCAGCCCCTCAGCCTGGTCCTCATTTCCAGAGTGTCAGTCTTCCGGGACAGTCAGCTGGGCCAGGCCCAGCCTCGGGGTGGGAGGCGGCC